GGAAGTTGCCTAGGGATGCAGTTGACATGAATGCTACATTGCTAAACAGGAGTTAGTAATGAAGAGGCAGAAGAAACTAATTCTATCCATCCACAACTGTTTTTAAGACCCACAAAGAGAAACAAAGAGGTTGCATATTTCACTTCTGTTTCACAAACTCCTAATTAGCTGTAAATGAACTTTTGTAAAAACTTAATCTTATGCCAAGGCACAGCTATCATTACCTGATGCTAATTCAGAATTATTGAAGAAAAATAAGAGAAATATATGTGAGTGAACAAGCTCAAGGGAAGTCAACAGGTAGAAAGAAAACTAACCTTATATTGAAGATGGCTTTTCAGCTGGTTTTTGCCTCTTTTCATTTTTTCAGCTGGCTTTTGGGTTCATTTTTGGTGGAATGAATCCAAGATGTCAGTTCTCCTAACTGGAGATACCATCAGAAGGGCTCTCACAGACATGATCAGTCAACACTAGCACTGATGGCATCAGACATTACTATTCCAGTTGTCTGCTTCCGTCCTCTGCTTTATATGAAGACAACTGAAAAACAAACTTTTGTCAAGTATTTCTAGAGATTGCTATTAAAGGATATATTCCATCTGATGGGAGCCTGCAGGAAAACACACTTTAGAAATGGGTTTATCTATGGAGAGGGATGGTCTAATTTTTAGCAAAAAAAATTATAATGCTATAGCTCTGCTGGTATAATTCAGTGTGTGTTTCTTCTATTATGTAGTAAATGTTAATTTGTTTTGGAACAATAACTCTGTCTTGAAAGACTGAGAAGTTAGCTAACTTCACACTGCTTATCTCCTAAATTTCGATTCTTCTGGTCTCGCTCTTTGACACAGTTGATTATAAAAGCACTGAACAGAAAGAACAGCAACTTGAAGTTCAAATGAGTAAGGAGAGGTAGAGCAGTACAGAACTTTGAAGACAATGAAATTAAGCCTAAATTTGTAATAGGAAAGGATGTTAAGCCAGATGAGTGACAAGATCAAAGCAACGAATGACAAAGATGATATTACAGTCTGTATTTGTACAGACTTTGAAGACTGAATATATGAATATTTGCAAGTATTTGCATTTGATCAATCCTGTGTTTCTGTTTCTTTCTGCTCCTGACCAATCTTATTCAGCCACAGACAAATCTGAAGGTTATACTGCTCCCAGTTGGCATAAGTCGGTGTTTGTTTAACAGTATTAGGTATTTGAACCATCTTGCTCTTCTCTCCTATACATACCTCCTCATAATGTTGATAGAGACACAGCTAAGGACATGCACTTTTTAGGAGAAGCTAGGAAGAAGTGGGAAAAGAAGAACAGTGAAGATGCTTTTCTTTACAAAGTAAAATATTTTCATTGTATGGGAAAGCTAGAAAAGTATGGGAAGTACAAGGAGTTAGAAAAAATATTGAGAGCCATGTAGTACATTTGAAGATGCAAAAGTAGAAAGTAAGATGGCTCTGAGTGCAGTAACAAGCCTTAAAGGTCCTGATTAGCCTCACCTGGAGCTAGTCTCTGCCTAGTCTTCCCAGGAGCCCTGTTTCAGATCATGCTGGAGCCTTTAGTGTCTACTGGTCCTATGCTGTAGGAACACTGGTTTCCATGTGTCTGGTCACAGACCCTGTTTACCCAGACTCTGGCCATTGGGTTGACTTCTGGGCTTGATCTTGGATCTGTCTTGTCACTGTGGACCTGCTTGGTGATCACCAAACATGATCCTAATTCTGATTTCTAGATTGTCTTCCTGCCTTCATCTCAAACCTGCCTCATCAACATAAACTTGCCTGACGGAGTCTTGGTTGAATCTGGCCATGGTCTCTCAGCATGCCCTACTTAGCTTGCTGGGGCTGGTGGATTAGAGCCCCCAGCCCCATTCCTTCTGGGAGGTGTTACTGCTCTCAGCTTCTGGTTCCCCATTCATTAAGGACCAGCTGACCCCTTCTGTTCCCTGACAGGAAGGTCAACTTTGAAGATCCCTGCTTCTCATGTATACTATACAATGATTAACTATTTCTTAGGGTTAAAAGCCACAATGGTTTTATGTCTTTGTAGATTGTTAAACACAATAGATTTCTAATAAGATGCCGACAATCAGAACACAAGACAGTATTTGGCTTGCAGACATCAAAATGCATCAAACACAACCAGAATGAGGTACATGTTCTTCCTTGTCTGTACAAATCACATGTGGATAGGAGACTATGTTGATTAATGATCAAAACTCCCCTCCAACCTTGCTCTTTGCTTCCAGCAGAAGGGACAGCATTGCATATAGAGTTAATTTTTTTACAAGTTTACAAGCTTCTACCTGCCTAGGCAAACCTCTATCTTATCCACCTTATTATAGTGAAGTGTGACATTATAAAATAGATACTATTCCACAATGTAGCTATTTGTTCTTGGGCTTGAATTAGCAATAACCTTCTTGCTACAATGCCATCTGTTGCTCTCTGCTCCTTCCCTGACTTTCAGAGCCTAAAGGTCCCCCGCTGATTCCTTGGCTATTTCAGACCTGTCACCTCTATTTCAGCAATTGCTCATTAAAGATTGCTTCTCTCTGGTCTTTTAAATAATTTCTTTCCACGGATCTAGATGTGTTTTCTCTCTCAAGTCCTATCTATGGTTTCATATAAAGGCCAAGAGTGGACATGTAGAACTTCCTCAAGTATCATAAAAAATGTTATTTTTTGACAGTTGGAAACAAAGAGGACTTCTGTTTTTAATACCACCAAGCTTCAGAGTGAGCAAGTGAATAAGGCAAGGTGTCCTTGGTACAAAATGGATCATTATCATTGCTTGCACAAATCATTAGTACAAAAAAAAAAAAAAAAGAGAGAGAAAGAAGCAGGCAGTCATATTACACATGACAATATCTGATAGGGAGCAGCCACAGTTGTGATTAGCACATCTCAGTGCCAAATGAATAATCAGGGATCAATTCCAGTGCCAGCAAGCCCCAGCAGCAATAAGCAGGAAAGATGATGAGCCTCTACTGAAGATGGAACATTTTGTATGCAGCAACTTTCGCAGCTGGTTTATACTGACCTTAGATTTTAAGGAGTTATCTGTTGTTCCTCAGAGGCAGGCGAAGATGGGGTATGTGATGAATGTGATCTTTTAAGAACACTATTATGTCCTCACTTTACCCCTCAAAAATAAAAAAGGGGCACACCTGACGTTTTGAATAAACACTAGATTTGTTCGGAACACTACATTTATCACTGAAATAGCTCTTCAGTAACAAATGAAGCTTTTACAGCAGCTAATGATACAGATATATTAAACGTTATGAAATAAAATATAATTGAGTATAATACAATCAATAAATCCTGGTGCAGACATAAACACTTTTTTATTTTTAAAGCTTTCGACAAAAAATCAGCAGTGAATGGAGAAGAATATAAATAAAACTCTGGGTGAGAAGATAAAGCTAAGTGATAAGTGAACATTGGCAAAGGAGATGATATTGCTCTGTATTTAAGAAGAAAGAGTAACAAATGGATAAGAAGCCCAAAACCTTTTACGTTCGGCATATTCTCCCTCAGCCTACAGAGACAGTGGGATTTCTCCTGCATGGTCCTCATGGCCAAGGATTTCCTCTGCAATTTTACTGTAGCAGAGAAGCAGTTTCGATCAAAACAGAATCTGAATCATTGTCTGTATTCCTTTTAAGAAAGAATATCTTATTTTTGCTTATTAGCTGTACTTAACTAAGAAAATGTGCCCCTGTCCTGTGATGAGAATTACTTTTTCACATGTAGACAGTCGTGTCATTAAAAGATTCATGAAACTTGTCTGTCTGGGCTTTATAACAAGATGGAGTGTGCTACTGAAAATCATTCTTGTCCAACTACTTTATAGTGCAAAAAATAGCTTCAAGCTGTGAGTGATGTTATCTGCTACAGATCCAAAAGATCAGGTTACAGCTGTGTAGCCTGCATTCTTGGCCACTTAATCAGCATTGTCACAGGTCAGAAAAAGGCAGGATGTTTGACTACTCACTTTTCTATTTGTGCTGTAACACGATCAAGAGCGTGTTCCTGCTTCATATCATTATAGGAGAGGTGACTTCATGCTACGGATTATGCAGGATGGCCTTGATGTCTTACAGAAATTGAGATATGTTTACTTGTTCTTGTGCCAGTAATATAGAATGAATAGCACTGTGAATATCATTAGTACCTTACAGGAAAGGCAACAGCTAAATAGATAAACAATATATATGTAGATGTTCAGCATATATGTATGCATATCCCAAGAACTTTCCCTTGACATTGGTCAAGTACTTCTGCTTCCACATTATGATAAAATTTTCACCTCACACCACTCCAACCATTAACACAGTTCTTTCTCAGTTTGGAATTTTTAAAAATTATTTGTTAGAAGTAGCTCAGAGATCTGGAATATCAGAAACAGATCTGCAAGAGAATGATCAGCATGGAGAGGGCAGCTGAGCTAGTGAAGTTTGTGTAATAAACCATGTAATTATTGGTAATTTATCATCAGGTTGTTTCATTTTCCCCCAGTGGAATATACACAAATTCCATATTTAAAAAATAAAATAAAAACTTTGCAATGAAGGCTGGTTGTGTGCATTTCCTATTGATGTACATTAAAATCTAGGAGACAGTTGCAGCAATGTCCAGATTATTTTTTCTCTTTATTCCATATGTTTTACTCATTCTTTTGACTCCTTTCAAGCAGGAGTAATTCTATTTGTGATACCTGTGATCTTCTATGCTCCTAAGCTGAAGTGTAAGTGGGGAATGTAAACACGTATTTCTTTGAGGTGAACTTGGTTCAAGAAAAGATGCAAAGTATCTGTTTGTCAGTAAGAAACAATCAGCAAAGTAATTTTTTTTTTTTTTTTCCGATGATTCCAATCCCCTTTCCAGGCACAGTTTAGCTCTTAATGAACTCTCTTGAAGGCATTCTTGGAATCATACCACTAGTGAACCCGTGTTCTTTTCTCTAGTGTTTTCTTGATGCTCTAATTATTTTTCTTGTAGTGTTTCTGGACTCTTTTTTCATACATGCTCCAGTACTAAACCACAGCAAAACAGAGCTAACAATTCCTGATCAGCCATGCATGACCTGTGTTTCCTATTGTTCACACTGGTTTAGCTATTCCCTGGAGCTTAACTGTTTCTTAGATTTACTGTAATTAAAGTAGAATGGTTATGTCTCTGAAGGTCAAGCACTTTAGCCTTACTCCTACCATAACTGTGACCAGTTTTAGATACTCTTCTGTAATTCACAGAACTCAGTGACTTTTGCTTCCATCTTCACTAAGCTAATGCTAGATTGCTGTGGTTATAGGCATGGAGTTTTTGATTCCCTGTAACAAATATGGGGTTGAAAGTTATGGTTTTAGGTCTGAACATGATACCTCACCACACTGTGTTAGGATTGACATTGCCTGATCAGAGATAAAATTTTACGTGTGTCTGGACATTGTGAAACTAGACAAAAGTCATTGTTAGACTAAAAATTAGTTTTAACTGTCCATTTCTGGATTTTTAGTGACAGATCTAGCAGAACACACATTTTACAGTTAAATGTGCCTTAAATTACTTATGAGACTTCTTGAGGGTTTTTAACAGTTTTATAGTTACAAAGGTAGCACTTTCAAGACTAGCTATAAGTTTAGAAGCCATAACTGCAGCCTTTAAAGAACATAAAATTTGCATAAATTATGCAACCAGGAAAAATTTTAAAATAAAAAAGAAATAGAATTTTTACTGCAACACACCCCTAGGTTACCAAGACTTTGGCGGATCAAGGTAACTTTTTTTTCGGGGAGAAGACTGGGAAGTTTCAGGCAAGTAATAAATGAAAAGGATGCTCACAGTTCAAAGGAAGTCTGACGTCAGGAAACACAACAATTAATGCTATTCTGCCCCCTTGCGTTAATTTCTGAGGTAGCTGCCTTACCCCACGCACCTCAAAGCTCACTTCCCTTCGTGAAGATTGCATCACATAACAAACGCATTAGGGAAAACATAACAGAGCAGTGTCCTGACAACAGCATGGCTGGGCGACCACTAGAAATGATACAGCTGCGTGCCTAGGTTTGAAGATGGTGTATTATATGTAAAAGTAATGCAAAATATGCACAAATCATTAATATGTTGTAACTTGCACTATCATGTGGGGGATGGGTAGAGTTACGACTTCAACCGAAATGGGAGTGAAGCCAGCTAACTGTATATGAGTAGGACAGAAAACAGAAGACCTGTGCTGGAGAAAAAAAGGAGAATCTAGTACTTGAGCTCTCCCATTTGTTTTTGCCAGCTCAGGCCCTTAATTATCTGGAATCTTGGTTTTACCTTTTTATTTGTAACCCGCGGGGAATAATAAATAGGCATTAATTTTGGTCACACGTGCTCTTGAAATAAAGCTTGCACTGAAAGCCATAGCCAACAAAAATATGTCCACCTTTAGAAGACCAATTTAGAAACTGGTTTAAACCCAACAAACACATCTCTGCAGTGCCTTGGACACAAGGAGACAAAGCCCCAAAGCGGAAAAGATTGTCAAGCAGCTGTATTTCATTCGTGATGTAGAGATAAGTGCCAGAAGTCGCAGAGTGCAAATAACGAAAGGTAACTGCTATTTTAACGCGATTTTACTTCCATCATTACTACCTAACCCTGCCAATTTATGACGTCATTCTTCACTCACAGGGCTGAAAGCTGCGCCCCTGCTTTGAGCGGGGGGACGGACTGGAGGAGCTCCAGACGTTCCTTCCCACCTCCCGCCCTTCCCAGCCGTCCCAAAGCGCTGCGGAGGGACGCGGAGCGGCCGGGACTGGGGGCTGCGCAAGCGGCTTCGCAAGCGGCTTAAGTTTTATTAGCGGCACACGAATGAGAAGCAATTTATTTACAACGCAGTGCCGCTCGCCGCCAGCCCGGAGAAACCCATTTACATCTCAATTTCCTTTCAGCATCAGCTTTTCGCTGCGAGGGCTGAGCTCTTACGCTGGTGATTTCTGCGGAAGGCCGAGTAGTGGCCTCGAACTAGTTCTCCTGACAGACTCCAGGCAGCCTGTAAAAACAAAACAAAACGGTTATGAGGAGCCAGCTCCTTCTCCGTCTCTCACTGATCCATCCTCCCCTTGTCCCGTTGCCCCGGCACAGCGCCAGAGCGGTGGGGCGAGGAGAGCGGGGCCGTTGCCCTGCGCGGCGGTAGCCACTCTCTCAGGGCCGGGACAGGTAGACACGGCGACCTACGGCTCTCGCCGGGGCCGGCCCGCGGCAAAGTTACCGAGTCGCTGGGTTGAGATTTTATTTCGTTACTGTTATTCCTCCCTCTTCTCCCCTCCTCCCCTCGGTTCTTCTCTCCCCCGCTACCCAGGAACTTTTGACCTCGTCTTGCCGTCCATGGAGCCGCCTCCTCTGCTCACAAAGCCACTCTCGGGGCAGCGAAGGGGGCGGGAAGGAGGCTTGGGCACTTCGCCTCCACAGGCGACGGCCGTAACCGCGATCCCGCCCGCGGCGCCCCGCCGCTGCGAGCCTCGCCCTCTAGCGGGAGAGAGCGGCGGAGCCGGCGGCTGGGCGTGACTTCCCGCGCTCCCTTTAGCCTGCCTGCCTGCCGGGGGGGACCGCGAGTCAGTCAGGGAGCCGAGCTAAAGCGGGACTAACGGCGGCGCCGGGCGAGGAGACTCCGGGATTAACGGTGCCCCCCCTCCCCGGGCACCGGGGGAGGCGAGCGGCCCCTGGGGTGAGGGCAGCGGCGCGGTCGGAGGAAAGCGGGCAGCCTCCGGCCCCTTGCACCCCTTTTCCCTGCCCTTAAAAGCGAATAGAGGGCGAGGAGGGGAATACAGCCCGCGGGGTACCGAGTGGGGGAGTCTGGCTGCCCCTTCCCCGCCTGCACCGCTGCCTGGAGGGGGGCGAGAGGGGCGCCTCCTACTTTGGCAAACACTTTGGCACTTTGCTGGATCCCGAGCAGGAAGGGGTGGAAATATGGGGAAAGTTGGAACTTGCCTGGTTACTTTGGCCGGACTTTTACTGGCGGCGGGAGCGCAGACATTCACAGGTAAGAAGCCGTCTCGCCGCCCCGGGGCTCGGCAGCGCTGCTGCGTGCGGGGGCAGCAGAGGTGCGAGGGGGAAAGCGTTGCACTTTCGGAGCCGGTTGGGTTTTGCTTTGGGGTTTTCTTTTATTTGCTTTTTATATAGATTTTTTTTTTTTAATTTTCCTTCCCTGTCTCGTGCCGGGGCTGACCCTTCGGAACCGCTGCGTACATAGCGGGGGGGAGGGCGGCGGTGGTGCCGGGATGCCCCTGCGGGCTAAGGCGAAGGAGGGCAGGAGAGAGGCCGGCGGGGCTCGGCAGCTCGAGGGCAGGGCTGGAGACGGACGGGCGGGACTCAGGCTCACCCCGGTCGCCGACTTCCCGAAAGTTTCCCGGTGTCCCGGCTCGGGAGGCGGAGGGGTGAGGTGAGCCGCCGCCCAGCCGCGGGGCTGACGACGGGGGAACTGGAACTTGGGGTGCTGCCCGGCGGGTGCTCCACCGCCCGCCCGCCCGCCCCCGGCGGCCTCCCCGCGCTCTCTCTCGGAGCTCCCCACCTTTCGCGCTACCCCCAGTTACGGCTGTGGAACGCCGGCAGAGCCGGAGGTAAAGCCTTGGCCCCTCGTTTTCTGCAGACCCCCAGGATCGTCACCTCGGAGGGCAGGGCAGAAGCTGCCCGCGTCTGCGGGGTATCAGGATTCACATCCCCCGAGGAGCCCGGCAAAGTGCTCCATCAACAACGTTTTGTCTGGTCCCTGAAGTTCTAGACCTGCAGATGGTTATCTTGGTCTCGAGTCCTCAGCCTGCACCCCTGCCCTATTTATATGTTGAAGAAACCCATAATTTTAGACAGAAACTGGGATTGTGAAATAGTTCTGTGTGCTTCACTGAGAAGAGTAACTTCAGATTTTGTTTATTTTGTTCCTAACATGAAGTTAGTGCAACTGAAAAGCACGTTAAATTGAAGACATCTGGTCTTCGGTTCATGCGAAGTGTGCTTTGATCTGGTGGTGGGAAGCAATACGTTTGACTGTCCTTGTTCACGCTGCAGAACAGTTTATGTTTTGTATGTTATATATTGCTTCTATGCAACACTGTAGCTACATCAAGTTTCATGGCTAGGAATTGGTGGTCTGTTTTAAAACTTGCTTTAAAAAATAAACATTTCTGGGTTTATGTTATGTTCCAGGGACCTTTTGTATACGTAGCTGCATTTCCCCTGATTTCTCTCCAGCATTTTTACTGCAGATGAGACAGAAAATCCCTGAGCAGAAAAATGTTTTGTACCGTGGTGATATATAACAATGATGAAATCTTTTCCAAACAGTCACGTTAGGAAGAAACTATGTTCTGCAGAGAATTACGGAGCTGAACTCATGTATATTAGCCCTATAACTCATTAATATTGTAAGTCTAGTGTCCAGACTTCAGTGAAAGCTCTTGCTTTATTAAGATAAATCCATAACTCATTGCTGACCTGCATAAACTGTCTTGTCTTCTTGTTTAAAGATAAGCTGGGGCAACTCTTCTGGATATTTAAATGACTTGTGCATGCGATATGCTGATGCTATACTAGGGTCAGAACAAAACTGATGAAATTTCCCTTTTTGTACTTTACCATTTGAAGTGTGTGCCTGGGAGTTATTTTTGCTTGGGGGAAAAAATTGCTGTTGCTTTTGTTAAAAGCTTGATGTATCAGTGTCATAGAAATTAAATTACAGAAAAATCTGTCCTTGAGTTGGGTAACTGTCTTTTGTAATAGCTATCCCTTGTTGCAGATGGGTTATATGACTAATGTATAAAAAGTTTAAAAACAAAGGAAAAAGAAACAAAACTAGCTTGATACTTGTCTAAGCAAAGAATAGCAGTGGTGAGCTAAGTAATCTCTGGCATTTCTACTTCCATTTTTATTTTTACCCTTTTCCAAAATGACTGTTTTACAGAGCTTGGTTCTAACTTTGCATTCAGCTATTGTTTCATTTAAGTTTCTTATTTAGAAAATAATCTTACTGAAAGATCAGATCTTGGCTTTTTAAGGCCTGGAAGCTTTTGAGTAATCTTTTGAAAGCAGCTTAACAGTTAATAACAATGAGATCTTCTCTGAGTCCTTAACTAAAGAATTTAAAATTCTGGATTCATCAGTTCAAGACGCAAATGGTCTCAAGAATTTGAGTTCATGAGATGTTACTGAAAACTATCTTAAATGGACAATGCTACCTATCTTAAAAGTAGCTGGGGTCTTTCTGCGAGAGTAGGTTTGGGTGGGGATTGTTTATGTGGTTGTTTTTTTTAGCTTCTTTTCTGAGAAACCGTAGCACACCTGATTTAGCTGGTTTCGTTTATAATTTTAACATAAATATTATTAAGTGGTCCTTATGCTAATATGCTAATATTACAAAAGTTACTGAAACATCGCATTCCTGTCATACATAATGCCACTTGACTCCACGGTGTTTCTTCTTCCATCTCCTTGCTAGATAATGCCACCTGACCCCACTGTGTTTCTTCTTCCATCTCTTTGCTAGATTATTCAGGCTAGGGAAAGCAGTCTACTCCTCTAAGAGATTTAGGTCAAACACAGAGATGTGGAAAGTTAGAAGGGGCACTGTAAGCCTGAATATCAGGCCTTATATAAAATAAAGGGTCTGGATAAGAAGGTTTCTGTCAAATAGCAAAATGGGAAGCTGAAATCGAAGGCAAGGAGATGTGTAATAGAACTTGGAAATGGTGTTTTTTATTAGGTATTGTGTGCAGATAGATACACATTTGCACACAGCTGAATGCTGAAATTGGTGCTTCTTGCTTATGACCTGAATCTGACCAAGGATGGGCTATTGAGAGAGAGATCTGGATGGGTAGACTGACTGACTAAAAGTGCTTGTCAGAGGCCATTCATAATGAACTTTGCACCAGGACTAGTGGCAATTATTAAAACAATAGGAGGCAAAGTGCTGTACAAAATTGAAAATCACTTTTCATAGTGACTAGTAAAGGCCTTACATAGAGAATAGTAGTCCTCAAGCTATTTTATGGATTAAAAATACAAAAACTTGCATTCTGGATGGGTGTTGTGCTTTATATTAATCTGTTTCATTTCTGGGTATGGGTGCTCTCAAACAAGAATTGCATTTTTCCAAAAACGGAAGAATTTTGATGTGCTGAAGCTGAAACTTACTGTGATGAAGTTGATGCTTGGTGATTGCAGAGAGGGAAGATGAAAAGAAAGAATATAGGTTAAGTCCTTATAGCTCCTACCCTAGCTGAAATGAAACTTCTGGCAATTGGAGCAACGTACAGAAAATAAAAAGTTTCTCTTATAATTGACCACGTTTAAAGAGATTTCTCAGATTATTTAGGATCTCTGTTTGGAAGTCTTGAATAAATATTCTGATCACTCTACCAGCAAATAGTTCCAAGTGTGGTTATATCTCATTTTAACAAGTTCTGCTGTTGTTTGCATTGCTTATTCCACCTGCTTTCCTTCCTCTCCACCCAACTATCAAGTCTGTATTCCTGCACTTCCTAAGGGAAGTAACATATGCTACTGAAAATGCAGCTTTATTAGTGGCTGACAGAGTTAGCTCATCAACAAAACTTCCAGTTAAATTTCATAGTGTGAACTTGGCCTCACTAAATGGTGAGAGCTGTGGTGGAAAAATTCTTAAACCAAACTTCCCTCTGTCAGAGATTTTTGCTGCTGCTGTTACAGCTGTTAGGTGAATAGGTGAATTACTTGATTTGTGTTTTACACCTAAAGGTATTCATCTTTAAAATAGTCCAGCAAATTAATGGAAGCATGTTGAAGAATTTGCTTCTGAATTTTGCCTTAAAAAAAAAAGAAAATCCAGCCTTTGACAGAAACAGAGAAACTGATTTTTTTTTTTTCTCTATAAGCTGGGATGTACTTTAGAATGTTTCAGGAAAAAATGGGTCTGGGCTTTGGAAGTGGCACAGTTTGTCAAAAAAGGAACTGCAGTGGGTATGTGGATTGGGTTTATTTTTTTTTTAGGTATTTTGGTCTTGTTCTAGTTACAAAAGTTAGTGATGAATCCTCATCAGAAATTAAAAATAATTCATGCAAAATATAAGGATGTAATAACACAGGGAGAGGAAAAAAATCCTGTGATGTTTATTTGGTCTCTTGACGTAATGTTTGTCAGAATCCGCAAAGAAAACGCATCACAGTGTCCTGAAACAATATAGGAACGTATAATTTACGAAAAAAATAATGTATTTAGTGCTCTAAGGAGTTGCTAGATTGACAGGTAGAGAGAGCAAATCCTCAGGCAAATCACAGAACATGTTAGGATAGAGCGAGTAAGCTTCTGAACTCCATCTCACTAATGTCGTTTGAGTCTGACCTGAAGAAATGTGGAGATTATTTAGTTTTCATGTGTGCGTATTCATGCGCTGAAATGGTCAG